GGGGGAGGGAGAAGCAGGCTTCCCATGGAGCAGGGAGCCCCATGCGGGACTCAATCCCAGGACCCTGGGACTCATGACCTGAGCCGAAGGCACATGCCTAATGACCGAGCCACCCAGGCACCCCTCCCCACATCTTCTTATCCATTCATCTACTGATGGACTTACGTTGCCTCCATATCTTGCTATTGTAAATAATGCTGCAATGAACATAGGGGTGCATGTCTTTTCAAATTAGTGTTCTTGTTTTCTTCAGATAAATACCTAGGAGTAGAGATGCTGGATTGTACAGTATCTCTATTTTTAATTTTTTTTTAAAGACTTTATTTATTTGACAGAGAGAGAGCGAGAGCAGGAACACAAGCAGGGGGAGTGGGAGAGGGAGAAGCAGGGTTCCCGTGAGCAGGGAGCCTGATTCCTGGGATCATGACCCGAGCCGAAGGCAGACGCTTAATGACTGAGCCACCCAGGTGCCCCTTATTTTTTATTTTTTGAAAAACCTCCATACTGTTTTCCATAGTGTCTGCACCAATTTACATTCTGACCAACAATGCGCTAGGGTTCCCTTTTCTCCACATCCTGCCAACACCTGTTATTTCTTGTCTTTGTTCTAATCATTCTGACTAGTGTGAGGTGATATATCACTGTGGTTTTGATTTGTACTTCCTTGATGTTTAGTGATGTTGAGCATGTGCCTGTTGGGCATCTGTATGGCTTCTTTGGAGAAACTGTACATACACAGATAAAGGCTATCCAGCATCTATGCACCCATAATAAAAAAGTCCAAGTAAATGGGCTGTCTTTCAAAGGCAAAAAGTGGAGATGCATAACTTTACACACAGCCACAATTCTCAATGCTTAAGTGTAAGATGCATATGTTAGTTGCCCAAGAACGCTGAAGGGTTTTGGTCCTCAAAGGGGAAAACAGCTATCTAACATACACATTAATGCTTAAGAATGTCACGACAAAAAAACAAAACAAAACAAAAAAAATGTCACTACAGAAAAGAAAAACAAAACTTAAAAATACCGTTTGCTTTTACATTTATAATCCTGTTGTAAATATCTTACCAAATGTACTTAATAAATTCCGCTTTTACTGTTTGCTCCCATTAAATTTTATTTATTTTTTTTTTTAAGATTTTATTTATTTATTTGACAGAGAGAGACACAGCGAGAGAGGGAACACAAGCAGGGGGAGT